CATAAAAAAGGTTGAATTGTACATAATATCAACGTTATGAAAATTAATTACAAACCCAAATTCTAAAAGGCAAGCAATTGAAATCAAGTTCCACTAGATGTCTGGTGTATGTAAAACATCATGGAGAATTAAGGTTTCCACCTCATAAGATCAACTTGCAAGTTCCTATGGCTTTTACCTCGATCTTTGCATTATTGCTAGCGTAAACCCACTTGCTTTGATTTGGCAACCGATGGTACTCTACGAAGGATCCACGATCCTTGCTTACGTGGTCTATGGATTCTGAGTCTACAATTCAAGAAGAGAAAACAGTTTCTGTTAGAAAAACATTCTTGGAAACATAAGAAAAATGTGAATTCACATAATTCACAAGCACTTGATTACATCCACTTTGCTTAGGACAATCCTTTGCAAAACGGCCCATCTTTTGACAGGAAAACATTCAACTTTTTTAAAGTTAATTCTCTTTTTTACCACTCTTCTTTTCCTTCTTTTTGAAATGTTGTTTGTCCTTCTTTACTTTAAGGCCACTCTTATTACCCTTCTTTTGTTGCTTCTTACCCCTTTTAGGTTTAGAATTTGAAGGACCACCTTCCTTGAAAAGTAAGCCTGTCCAAATGACTTGTAAGCCTTCAGACGTTCAGCCTTTAGCTCCAAATGTTTAGCCACATCATTAAAGTTAACAATGTTTTCATTGTGGGTTAGGTTAACTTTCATATGCTCTCAACTAGTTAGGAGTGATCTGATTACAACATGTACTTGCTATTTATCAGAAAGATCATGCCCAGCTTCTTTAAGTTCACGAATCATGTTAGCCATCTCTCTAAGGTGTTGCTGTATAGGAGTATTCAGCTTTAGTTTATAAGTGTCAAATTTAATTGTAAGCCTTCTCAGTTTGGCGGTTGAGGTACTACCAAACTTTTCTTTTAAAGTAGCCTACATGGCTTGGGCAATGGATTGCTTCTCAAATTCGCACATTAAATCATTCACTGTAGCACTTAGAAGTGTTATTCGTGTGATGCTATTTTTTCATTTCCATACTGTAAATGCCTCTTGGTCTCTCTTATGCTGAGTTGAGTTTCCTACCTCAGGCTTGGCCATGACCACAGTCAATGGCTCAATAGCATCTTATTCTTCCAAAAAATATGACACCTTACAGTTCCAAATTTCCCAGTCATCCTTATTTAATTTGTCGCCCTTATTCAATTCAGTGATAATGCTTTTTGTTGCCATGCTTAGTTCTGAGATGAACTATCCCACATTAATAGTTTTCTATATTAAACCAAGAATAAAATACTTATAAAAAACATACAATGTCTTACATTTGTATTATTCTTTATTAGAGTGATAACAACTTTACTAGGTTAACTATCATGAGGCCACGTTTGTATCTCTCATCACATTGATTCTAATAAAATTACTATCGTCTATAAAGAATTTTATAAATATTTTCATAATCGTTATATATGGCTCTTAAATAACTTATCACTTTAGAGCTCTTACTCAAACAAAGTATATATAAAGCAATAAAAAAATAAAATAACATACTTCATATATATCATAAAACATCAAGGTCATAATATAATATAACTAAAAAACAAATTCTTGAAAAATGCTTAAGTTACAAACCTAAAAAAGACAACTCTTAATTATGTCTTTATGTTTTTCTTGTACTTTCGTCCCCTTGATGGCTCTATTCCATAGAGGATTTCCTGAGTATGACTTATTTTACTTGTTATGTTGCACAAGTTCTTTCCTAAGTTGTCTAAAAATTTCTCCTACAATCACGGCTTGTTTTTCTTTTGTAATGAAGCTTGAATATGCTCTTACTATTAGAGAAATTTGATCTGGCTTTTTTATTCTTTTAGCTTCTCTTTTTGCGATATTTATGATCACTAAGGGTGTGAAAGGTTACTCCATATCTTCATTTTCATCTTGAACATTCTCATCACTCTTTAATTCATATTTTGGTCCCGACAACATGCGCACCTCTTTAAGTTCCTTTAGCACATTTTCGAGATCAATATTGAGATTCTCTTTAAGATCAGAATTAAAATCCTCACTTTAAGATTCATATTCTTCCTCCTCCTCTTTGAAGGGTTTCGGGTTGGAATCCTCACCAAGAGGCTTATAATCTGATTCATCTAGATACTCAACACTAATAGGATAATTTTCTGAGTTATCAATGCTGCTAGAAGCCTCTTGCTTCATATTTGCCTAAAAAAATAAAAGAGAAAAAAGTTAGAAATTAACTTTTTTTTTTGGGTTGGGCTTGGAAGCCCAAAAACTATTTTTTTTAGGGCTTTTAGGCTTGTTAGCCTAGAAGCATCCCCTTTTTTTTTTAACAACACATCAAAACGACGTTTCGTTTTGACGAAGATAGAAACGACGCATCATTTTTGTCATCGTCTACCTTCAATCGGGTCAACTTGACCCGGTTCCTTTGGTGGGTTGGGTCTGTCGGACCCAAAACTTCTGGAGGCCATATCTCCTCCGTCTGATCTCTATTTTATGCATTCTTAGTGTCATTTTCTTCATTTTTTCGAGCTCTACATGTCCCTTTAGTTCATAGAACTCAATTTTCAAGCACCCATTATTTGGTTTATTTTTCAGTTGTTACGCTCGTCACTATTTATTGCATGCAGAATGTGTATAGCCTTATATAGAACACTTATATCAACCAAAAAGTATATAAACATGTTCATTTTGGTGATAATAATGACAAAGACAGATAGAGGTAAATTCATGCGAAAACACGATAAGAAAACAAAAAACTGAACTTGTAGATTTGCATGTATATGGTTAAGCAAATCATTATAGGTTCTTCAGACATAGAAAATGTAGCCCAGGAAAAACGAACACTTTGATATCAATATAAGAATCTAAGGAGGAAAGCATACCTATAGTGGTTGAGTTGCACGGACGTATGCGGGAACAAAGCCACACCAGTCGAACTTCGTTCGGATACACACAGCAAATGCACACAGAGAGAGAATATGAGAAGCTAGGAAAAACAAAATGGGAGCATTATATTTATTCACTAAAAAAAATGAGTGAACTGCACCCATAACTGAGGATATATGGGAACATGCGGCAAATTTAGTTTCTTAACTGTTCCCTCTCAAAATTCAAATGTTGGAGAAAATTATATTTGAAGCCCTGAGTAAATTGCACATTAAACCCAAGCATTTCTCATAATTGTGACAAGAATCACATTTCTCAATTTGAGCTTTTATATGGGCCTGATCCACCAAGAGTGGATGACCCAACACCATCCATTATATTTAGGGACGAAATAGGATTCTAAAAAACACCTTATATATAGGGACGAAAGGAGAAAATGTCCATTTTATCATCTTCTCAATGCTCTGCATATTCCAACTAAACTGATACAGAGCAATATTTTGTTATATGGAAACTTTTTTTCTTAATGCCATGCTCGGAAGTGATTGAAGAAATTCACAGAATAACTTCATTTGGAAGCTTTGAACTTACTTCGACTTTATCACATTATTAGTATCAACAGACCCACTTGCCTTCTTGGTGCTATCAATTTCAACTTAACTCTGAGTGAGAGTGAGAGAGAGAGAGGGAGAGAGGGAGAGAGGGAGAGAGGGAGAGAGTAATTTTGATGTCTGGGACCATTGCTGATGATTGAAATATATATCTGAATCTCTTATATATGTTGTAAAGAATGGCTTGAAGCTGGAAGTTATAGGGGGTTCTCGTTATAATGAGCAAGGCCACCATTGAAGTCCTTGAAAGGTGGAATTTCAGCATTGAGACTAACTCAGGTTGTTGAAAAAGGGTAACGTAACGGAGTTTCTGTATGAATTTTTCGTTGTTTTCTTTTGTAGGGAACTACGAAACATAGGCACTTGAAAAATGAAGCTTTGTTTTATTGTTTGTGTTATACACTTGTGATAGATGAAACTCAACAATTAGTCTTTCGTCTTCTTATTAACTCTAGTGTCTGAAGTACTCTGCTCTTCATCTATGCCTTTTTCTTTTTGATTTGATCTTTCAGTGTATGGAGGGGAAAGAATGATAAGGAGATAATGAGAGAGATACAAGCAATAATGCGACAGATTGCTTCAAGCATTAACTATTTGCCATGCTTTAATGAAACTTGCAAGGATCCATAAGCATCGTGGACAGAAAGGTTGCCACCCTCTTCATTTCCCCCAGCGAATAACACCAGCGGGGTTGGGGGTGGGGGGAAGGCCCTTGCAGATAGACGGGAGCAACAGGTCCCATAAATTTAAAAATAAACCAACGATAGGGGAAAAAAACATTGGCGGGAGTTCTTGAGTGATTGACAACTGATGATTTATTTTACACTGCTTCATAACATAGAATATCATATGCTCTTCAAAAAATAATTTATAATTAAATTTGCACATTTACATATATTTAAATATACATAGGTTTGAATTTAAACCAAATATCTTATTTGGACATAAAAAAGTCCCAGAATTTGGAGTTGATCCTTGTTTTATTATAATTTTTGTAATTTCAGCTACTTTGATTTTTTTTTATATTTTCTTTACATTTTCATTTTCAGTACTTTTGTTACTCTCACCCCTCCTTTCCTCTCATCTCATTTCTTATTTTTATTTCTCACCCATTGAAAAATAAAAGAAAGCTTGTCACGTTTAATTTTTCATTTCTACAATCTCAACTTATCTCTCTTCTATTTTTAAATTTTTTTACACTATTCAAATAGAAGATTTTAAATACACAAATTTTAAATATAAAATTCAAATTCAAACTATCAATCCAGGTGCTGCCTAAAGTTTAATTATCAATAGAAGATCAAGGACATTAACCTTGCCAGTAAAATAAAAATGGAAAAAATGAGGTGCCGGTAAACCAAGTAGCCTCTAAACGCGGTATTTGGATATTTCTACTGGTATGTGATATTCCATGTCATATATATATATATATTACACAATGAAATGAAATTCAATCCATTAACCATTTTATTTAAAAGCAAGATATGAGTCATTTAATTGAATGGTGTGCAAATGAGATGGAACAACATTTGAAGGGAAGAATTTCTCAAATATATGAAAGTTGTATTATACATACAATGATTCTATAAAAAAAAATGTTACTTGTTAATTGATGCCGAGGTCAATGTGCACTTTATTGCTACAACGAACAAAACCTGTACCAAAACAATACTTGTTCCTTTCAAATACCTAAAAGAATGCAAGTACTGACACGCATCATGACACCATATTTGCTTGCGTTGATTAAAAAGACAAAAGAATGAATTCAATGTGAAACAAAACAATGAAACAGAGAGAAGGATGGATATTCTTTGACCTCAGTAAATAGCAAATTACTAAATAGGCTGCAATTCCAAGTTGCTGTGCCCAGAAGTGTTTGTAGAAGATGGTGCAGGCTCCTTGTTCTCACCAGAAGTCATCTGTTGAACTGGCGGTGGATTAGTGACGGTTGCCGATACGGGAGAATCATGAGATAGGTGGCTCCTCATCTCCCGATGCTCCTGACATATGGCACACGAATGCATGCAGCAATGCACCAGGCAGGGATCACAAGGTGAATTCTGAAAACAGAATGGATCATTAAGGTGGATTCTACATGTGATGAATCAATAGAATTGATTAATAATTTTCAACTACAAGTAACCAACAAAGTGGTGGTGATCCCCCCCCCCCCAAACAGAAAAGAAAGAAAAGAAAAAAGAAAAAAAGAAACACTTGAAATTGGATAAATTATATATCCTGATTCAAGTTAGTAGTGAGCTAAGACTTCTTGTTATTGTAGTGGTCCCTATGATGAGTTAGTTGTTGGTAACTGAAGTGATCTGTTCTGGTAAGTCGTAACTATATTATTATTATGATGATGATGTAATGTGATCTGTTTCCTACTAGAAATCCTAGTCCTATAGTTAAATAAATGATTGCACTGTATCATGCATTAACGATTAATCACATTCTTTTTATCCTTATACTAGACTGCCCACGGTTGATATGGAGACTGAAGAAAGTTGGCATAAGCTGCAAATACCACAGAAAACAGATCTGACACTATCATAAACGTTATTTACAGAGTCATTTCTTTACCTACGAAAATTATAACACTGTAAAGGCATTTCTAGATAAGTAACACTGAAAATGATCAGTGACATCAATTCCAGTTATATTCTGTTGAATAGGGACAACAAAGGAGAACTAAAAACTAACTCTTCAAATATCTAACATGATGATAATAGAAGAGTTAGAAGTCAATTACGTGTAAAATGACTAAAAGTATAAATGAATAGCAAAAGTAACAAAGCTGCAAGCCATTTCAAAATCAATAAACATTTCTGCACTAGTTGAAATGCGCAACAAATTCCTGGAAACCAATATTGTTTGAGGAAGACATGAAACCAAGTACTAATGCAAGTGAATAAAATTACCTTGAGATGATATTTCTTCTGCAAAGATTGCCGAAACAGGCCAGTATAAATGCCACACATCCACCACATGAAAAGCAGGCTTTCAACGATGAGAAACGATGTGTCAGGATCAATACCATTGATAAATGCTGTTGCAGCTGCAACAGCCATTCCACCTTCTACACACATAGCATGACAAACACAAGCATTGGTCCAAGGAATGTCATCTCTCATTGCTTCAACATTGCGCCCAAATAGAACACATGGGCAGAATAATCCAGTCCAGCCTGCAAAGCAAGCACCACTATTGTAGAGAAACGTACGATTGTGGAAAAATTCTCAAGGACAAGGAGATAAAATACATGGGCATTTAAATTTCTTCAACAAGCTCTCCAGTTCTAGTACACCGAAGATTACAATCATTTATGAGGGAAGACTAAATATTCATCAAATCAAATGCTGTTGATTAATCGTGTGAAAAAATATCTTCAAACAGCTACTGGAGTTTCAGCATATTGAAGGAGCAAAAATTGGCTCTTTCTTCGTTCCGTACAAGATATCTTCTAGGGACCTAAGAAATCTCAGGCCGTCAGAACCAAGGTACTATTTTCTATATAAATCTTGCTCATAGTGCTCATATTTCTACACATAAACTGAGATGTTATCTCCAGCAGCACCACTACCACCAACTCAAACAACCAAAAACAACAAAAAAGCAAAACATGTTTATAACATGGAATGTGATAGTTGCATGATCATTGAGGATAATGAGCCAAGACTGGAATCCTAAGGTCTTGTTTGCTTACTAGAAAGAAATGGAATGGAATGGATTGAAAAAATAAAGGTAAAAATAAGATGATCAAAAGGGATAAAAGTACATTCATAAGTGGAGGAGTAATTTAGTTCATGAGTTTGGAAATTATGATTTATGAGATTTTTAGAGGATGTGATGATTCCTATCTTAATAGTATCTATTAATGAGTTTTATCATACTTAACATGGGAGGAAGAGTGATTTCGTTCATTTTTGTCCCTTTTTTTTTTTTCAATCCACTCAATTCTTATAACCATACGGGACCTAAATCATTTTTTTCTTCCCTCCCATAGAACTATTGTTAAGTATTTTGTCCTCTTGCATAATATGGTACCATCTCTATATACATCTCGAATAAATTCTTACTCTTTGCAAATTGGAGCATTTTACACTTCTTTACGCTGGGTATCTAAAATCTAAATACATGAGATAGTGTTATTATAGAAAAGCAGATAGAATCTTACAGCTTTCAGTATCTTCGACACAACTACAGATTCCAGTTGTCCAATCTTCATCTGCAGGGGGCTCGTAACTTTCAGGAAGGACTTGTCCACATTCTTGACATCTGTGAACGTTTAACTGTTGAAAATAATCTTAATTAGCAATGAAATTATAATAATAAAAAATGGTAAATTTCTTAGTCAAATAAGCAACATATGCTTTCGATAACATGGAAAAGGGTTACCCTACTCCCGTTATTTACTTCTATAAATATCCTTTCTCAAAGTTTAAAATTCAGGAAAAAGAGATGACCATCAAAATAATTTGATAATAAATAGTTTGAACCTGGTGTTTTCTCATTGTTACTGTTTACTTAACAAATAAATTAAAGATTTGAATAGGCACTATAATTCAAAACTTCAATATTTTAGATGACTACCTTCTCACGGCTCCACCACTGTCGGAGAAGGTAAATAGATATATTTTATCTTTATCGGAATTCTTTGGTTTCATTTAAACTAGGTTAGTTTTATCTAAGCTACGATATTTAGATTACCTTTGGAATAAACTTAGTTGGATTAGACTTTATAGGATTTATCCTTCTATCCTATCCTATGTTAAGTCGTATTTTGTTAATTTTAAATTTGAAAATGGGTGGGCTTATTTTATCTTCTAGAATAAAAAAGCTTCAGATTAACTAGGACTAGGCTCTCTCTCCCTCAAGTTCTTCTATTTTTCCCTCTTTTTTGTCTACACCTATTCACAAAGCCAATCCATAAAACAAACTGCACGCAATAGAAGGAAGACAGAAGATCAACTATCATATTGTCTCCTAGAATACAAAGCTAAATATCCATTATGAGGCTCACTATGAAAAGCCAGGGCAACTGCGGCCCCAAAAATGGGTATAAAGAATTGAGAAATAAGTAATATCACTTCAGTGAAAAGTGCCTGGGGAGGAAAAGAATACAGAAGACAGAGTCATAATAATACTTTATCGTTTGCATCATCTTTGACTTAAAATTCCTATGGTACCAGAGATAAAACTGTTTATGAAAACTCTACCAAACACCCTTCATGCTCCCGTCTTTCTTGAACCTAAAAGTTGAACCTAAAAGAAAGCCGTTCAGTAATATATTGTTTCCTTGCCTAAATCATTTTGTCTATTCGATATTGCATGAAAGGTTAAATCAAGAATAGAAATAATCACATCATTCTCCCAGATATACTACTTTTTTAATTTTCTTTTGATTCATAGATATACTTCTTTCTTTTCAATACTAGAAGTCTAGTACTAGAATCAAAGGTATAGCATAATATCATCAATAACAATATAAACTAATAAGATTGAGTTATAATTTTGCACAAGTGTAGAAGATATTATAATTAATATGTCAATTGGGACTAGCTCAAGCAGGTGGACGAGTGAGAATTACAATGAAAGGTGGCAAGTTTGACATGCTCATCTTGTACCAAGAGAAAATTCGTATTAAAACACGTCATACAATATATATTTTATCCACAATTAAAATTTCTACAAATCTAAATGTATTGAATTCAGTGTTTTGATATATGCATCATTGATAAATTGTTAAACTTCAATATATGACATAGTAAAAAATATAACTTAACACTTCCAAAGTTTTTTTTTTAAAAGAAAATTAGCATATAATTGTAAATGCTTTGATTTCTTCAAACATCAGAAGCCAAGATTTTTTCAATAAATACCTTAATATCTAATATTTAGAAAGTGAATTCTCTGCTGTATAATACTGTGCTGCCCTCTTCTTGCATATATTTTCTTTTGCATGCTCCTAAAAATTATATACATGTGCCCCCGCAAATCAAAATCTTCATTATGTGTATATTTAAATCAATAACAAGCTGCACTAATCATATATATATATATATATATTATAAGCCACAAAAACCTGTGGCTTAATTTCTCAAATTTCATGCCAGGCATGTGAAACATATCCAGTTATTTATATTTCATAATAAATCAATGGCAAAATGAAGTTAGAAACAATGCAAATGGAAATTAAAAAGAACCAACAATAAAACAATAAAGATGTGTGCGCGCATGTGTGTACTCTCTCCCCTCCTAAATTTAGGAACTAGTTAGGGGATTTGTTTTGGTCCTAAATATGAGACTTCAATCTCTTTTATCTCCCATGTTTATTATTTTTCCCAAACTACCACTATAGTAAGATTCTTGTTGATAATACTCCAATGTAAATGACAAAATGGGGGATATTTTAGGAAAACCAACACGCATTTTTTACAAATGACCAACTTTTCTAATTTTGTCTGAATTAGTTAATTAACTTCTACATTTAGGATCAAAGTGACTAAGCATGAGTAAGGTATTAAAAACTGATTTGATTATTGAACCAGTCAAGACAATAGTTCAAAAGTTAGTAATCCAACTATGGTTAAATTGGGGTCAACCCAGTTATAATTAGAATATACAAAAATATTTATATATAACCTTGAAAAGAGTAATACTTAAATAAAAAAAGCATTAATCCACAAGCATATAGAACATTAATGTATAAACCACATATAATTCAACAAAACACACAACAAATTCGACTGACGACTATTTATTTTATTTTATTTTAGCTCAGAACAATGTCGTTTCAAACACAATGTGGAGTGAAAAAATATATAAAATTCAAACTGATCATTTCATCCAAAACAATAAGGTTCAATGATTTTAATATATCATGAGCATTAGTGTGCGTGCGCACGCGTGTGTGAGAGAGAGAGAATCTTGATCTCTCTCTTTCTCTCTGTTTTTTTTTTTTTTGGGTGAAAAATCTTGATCTCTTTGTATGGCAGGCCTGGACTGTAAGCGGCACGTACTTCTCTAAAAAATGTAGCAGAGAAACCAGTCTCATTTTATTGCGGAACTTTTTTCCCATGTAATAAAATCTATAACAAATTTCTTTTGACCATTATCAGTACTACTCGTATCTCGAATTTGATGTAATTCATGTGAAATGGCACAAAATTATAAATCAAAGATCCAAACAATAAAATAATATAGAAATTGTTGATCTTCCATATTCAAATGTCGAAACCCAAATCGGATTCTTATCAAGATCAAGACTTAACAAAAATTGATACGTCAAGAGCAAGAAAGAGAAAAAGGATAACCAACCGATGGAACCTCAACGGGTTGATTAAGTTCGCCGGGAGTGATATCTTGCAATTGGCCTCGATCTTTCGTCAACTTTACGTACCTCGATTGCCCCTCTGACATCTTGTATGATCACTGCAAGGAGAAAAACACAAATTTATGAGAATGAATCGAAGGAGAAAGCGAATCGGGGGGGGGGGGGGGAACGAAGGAGGCGAGGACGAGAAAAACGTGGAATGAGAAATGCTGGTGACTTTGGACAAACCTGAAAAGAAAAATAAGGTCGTAATCGAAATCTGAATTCGTTGGGTTTCAGAGAGAACGTATCGTTACATCTGATCGCGATTTGATTCTGCCTCTCGTTTTCTGTCCCCCTCTCCTTATTCCCGGAATGTTTATTACACTTATTCCCCATTGCTTTCTTTTTTTGGCCGATATTTTCAATTGCTTCCAGTTCAAGAAACACATGCTCTTTCCTTTCGTTTTGTTGCTTTTTATTCCCCGTTTTGCTTGGGTGGGGGCAAAAAGGGGTCAGTTTAGGAAATCATATTTTTGGCCCATATATATATATTTTTTTAATAAATACCGGGACAACTTCATTCAAACGAAAGATATAAGGACAAATAATCCAAACAAGAACAATAAGCCAAACAAGATAACAAAGACCAGAGATCACACAAAACTATCTTATAGGTAGTTGGTCAAAAATAGTAAAATTAAAAGAAAGCCTATGAGTCAGCTTGGCTAAATGATCTACCATGTCATTCTCCTCTCTATACACAAAGTGCAAATTAGCATTCCATTTTCTACACAGGAGTCTTCTAGTAGCTTCAATAATGTCCTTAAAAGTATAAAGACTATAGTTGTCTCTTGTGATCAACGCATAATCACCAAAAACCTTCACAACCTTGAATCCTTTTTACCAACAAATTTCAAGACCCTTAATAAAAATACCATAAATTTCAACAATCATGGCTGGAACATATCCCAACTTACAGCTATAACCCTGGACCCAAAGTCCACTCACAAATCTTATGAGTCTACTACAAGAACTTAAACCATTCCTTAAGGTTGACCCATCAGTCTCTAACATGATGACCCCATCATGAGAATATTTCCTGCCCTCATCTATTCTCAACCTGTGAAGACTGGAAATCATATTAGACAGTTTGAAATCAACAACAACCTTGAAGAAGAGGAAAAAGGCTCTTCAAGATCCTCCTCAACAGCTTCATTAAATAGAACCTTGCATCTACTTCTCCAAATGATCCAGCAAATATGCACAAAAAGAAAGCTCCAAGGAATACAGTTTATTCTGGATAAGCCAACTTGGTATTTCATATTCCAATTTAGCCAATCACACTTGTCTAATTGGAAAAATTTCTCAATAAAGCTAGGATACACAAAAGCTAACCACCATTTCCTAGCATGTTTGCAATCCCGTAGTTAGTGCATAGTATCCTCCATTACCTTGCAACCGAAGGGGCATAAGCCAGTGATGTTAAGACCTCTACACAGCCAAAAAGCAGTTGAATGGACTCTATCATGCACAATTTGCCAAAAGAAAGTTTTCATCTTCTCCAAAATGTTCCATCTCCAAATCCTACACCATATGGGATCATGATCATTCGTCGTACCTATAAGAAGAAAATAATAACTAGATTTTTGGCCCATATTATAGATAATATATTATTATTATCACTTTAAGAAAACTAAACCAATATTAAACTTCTCGAGATACAAATTCATAGTTCAATGTTTGAATCACAATTTAAACTGTTCAACCTAGCATGAAAAAATTGATATATTTTAAATAATATATCCATAAAATAAAAATAAATAATTATATATAATAATAAAAAAGAATTTTTAAATTTCAATCAAAATAATATAAAATAAAAAAGGTAATATCCATACATATTTCATCATTTTAATTCAAAGTATACATACTAATTTCATTATTTATACCTCTAAAATATATACATATGTACATATTCTATATACATGTATACATATATACATGTGTGTGTGTGTGTGTGTGTGTTTCTTGCACAGATGTTCATATTTTTCATCCATCAATGCTTACTAAGTATAGCTATTAAAAAAAAGGAGAAATACTAGCAAATTGGTCTAATTTCATTTTTAGCCTTAAAGATTTTTTTTCAGGGGGGCATTGAGCATTATACACTAATAAATGGGTCAGTTTCCTTTGAACCATTTTTTTTGAGGAGCAAAAAACTCATTTCATAGTCACCCATTAACTTTGTCATTTTTTGCTTATATGGCACGTGTGTTAGGCTGCAAGCTTGCAATGACAAATAGGACTCTAATAATATCTTTTGGTGCTAATTTGCTCGTAAAGCATTAGACATCTTGAAGTATCATTAAAATAAAGAGCAAATTAAAGGATAAAAATACCCATGAAGTCATCAACTAGGAGCACATATAGAAGCCTAAAGTGAAAAGAGAATAAAAATTCTCATAACATGACCTAAGTTCATGTAAGAGTGGAGATTCATTGTCATACAATGACCAATCAGCCTTCATTGAATTTCACCTATGAATATTTTCTAGTTCACATCATTAAAAAATGGTCAACTTATACTTAAATATCAACTAAATGGTTAATGTTTGAGAAATTTGATAGATTGGTCACTATTACATCTACTAAAATAATGTTATAGGTATTCCTACTGATTTTCTCACTTTAGACTACTAGATGTTCCTAGTTAATGACTACGTGGATACTTTCACCCCTTTTTTAGTCCACATGAGCAAAAAAATGGCTAATTCTATTTAGGTGTAAGCTAAACAATCAACATTTAAGGGATTTAATGGATTGGTAACTCTTGCACCAATTGATATAACGTGGTGCATTTTTACTTTTTTTCTCACTTTAGATTACTAGATGTCCTGACCAACAACTTCATAGATATTCTTGCCCTTTTGCCCTAAAATAAAATTTAACAAAAATTTTTAAACGTTAAATAATTCAAATATTATTATTTATAAATATTCATCCAAAATTTATAAATTATTTTTAAATATTAATAGCTTAAAGTAATTCTACAAAAAATTATAAATGATTCATAAATTGTGTGTGAAGATTTGTAAAGAATGATAATAATATTTACAAATAAATTGGTGAGGGGTTTGATGATTACAAATAATTAAACCTAGAGATGAAAGCATTGAACCATGTGTCTTGATAATTATAAAATTATGAGAAATGATTTTGTTACTTGTGTAGTTCAATATTACATTTACTAAATGACAAAACTTCTAAGAGCATGAAGAACAAGAGAAGATTTAGGACTTATTTGGTTTTTATTCCCATTTTTTATTTTTAAAAACTATTTTATAATATAGTTTTTAGAATTATTTTTCAAAAGAAAACAAAATAAAAATTAATTAGGTTATATTAATTTAAAAAATTAGAATTAAAAAATAGACTGATAGTGATAGCTATATGTTATTAATGGTGGTGATTTATGATAGAAATTAATCAAGACAACTGTAATTTTTAATAATCAAATATAACTTATTTTGAAAACAAGAAAAATAAATGAAAACAGCTTGAATTTGTTTCTATTTTTTAATTAAAAAATAAAAAAACAAAAACAACTTTAGAAACAATTAAATTGAAAACACTTTTTCAAATTTTAATTTTTTATTTTTAAAAAACAAAAAGTAATTTTTAAAAGATGAAAACAAATAGGCCCTTAGACTTTATAGGTTTAATTATTTGTTTCTTTTCTAAGATTATGTTATGAAAACTATTGAGAGAAAAATTACAATAGGAATGATAAGAATACATTCATTAAATCATGTCATAGGTTCATAAAGTCCTGGATCTTTATTGTTAAACACTTAGGATGCATCTATGCCTAATTTTCTATTCCACGCTTGTTCTAGCGTGAACTTACCTGTGAATCAATCCATCCTTATGCATTTTAGGACTTAGTGTATCCAATTCAAGCTAGAATTTAAATTAATACTAGCTTGAGTTAGACTCTAAAAGCATTGCTAAACATTATAGATTAATGCACACTTGTCTTGAACTAGACTCAAGTATGTTTGAGCCCTCAGTGAGGGTGTAACATGTTGAAATTAATAAAACTAGTTACTAATTTATGGGTAAATTAGTGATATGGTAGATTAATTGGATAATCAAGATTTAGATGGTAAGCTAATGTTTTAACTTATTTTAATAATGAATGGATAGGATCGAGTGGAAGAATGATGCTCCGAAGCAAAGTATGCAAGCAAAGTGAAATTTTCCTTATTATTCCATACACTGCTATATATGCTGCATGCATCATGACATATGGCATAGAATTCTGACTTTAAATCTTATGGATCAAGCATGAAGAGAGAGGGGAAAAGAGGAAAAGGAATGCAAGGGAGAGAAAAAGGATAAGGGTTTTGCTAGGCAAAGCTTCATGGCCACTTGAAGGATATTTCAGACTTGTCGCTTGCCAAGTAAGTTTTGCATCACCTTAAGCTTTAATTCTACACTAATTTTTCTTAGTTTAAGCTATAGAAAAATTGAATCAGAGAGTTTTAAGAGGTTGTTTTCTTACCCTTTTGTAACAAAAAGGCTCTTCGAGGTTAAATTAAGGTTTTACAACTGGTTTGAAAGTTAATGGTAAAGCTTTAAAGCATAGGCTTAAATTAGCCAAATTTATTGAGTAAAAATGGGTAAAAGTTGACAAGAAGTGTTTGAAGGTTACTATAAGTGTCAAGAGAATTTAAAAGGATGAAATGAACCTATGAAAGATTGATGGAAGTGTGTAGATGCCTAATTGTTATAATTAGTTCTTTAGTCAATTTGATAATTGGCTTAAGGTGCTAATTTAGGTAGCTTGTCATAAATTGTGCGTTGATTGAGCGAAAGAAATTTGAGTAAGGACAATAGTGCCACGAGTAATCTTTCTTGAGAACAAAAGAGTTGAGGTAATTAAATAGTTCATTATGTTTATTAGCCGGTGTAACTATATATAAGTAAATGCAAAAAATTATGGTCTTATGGTTTCAGATTTAATATCTTTTGCAATGTGTATGTTTTAGCATTCAAATGATATGTCAATGTGGATTTAGCTAAAAATGATTTTAAAAAGAAAATTTAGTGTGTGTGTGTGTGTGTGTAAATATATATATATATATATATATCTATAAGCATGGGAAGTAAATGATTTTATGCGTGTGATAATAGCATGATCATGACAATGGGTGGGAGTTCACCCTTTGTGTGTGTGTGATGGAGATGTGTGTGTGTAAAGAAATCTATATGGTCGAGCTAACCTTATAGGACATCCAGTGCAGCATATTATTTAAGACTATTACTATGAGACATTCGAGTATTTTGACAACTCCTTAATGTTTGTGATGTAGCAGTTAAGAGTCAACAACACCTTTAATGT